CTTCCGCCGGTCAGAGTCCATCAGCACTCCAGAACTAGGCACCGAACCCATGCAAGTGGATACCACCAGACTCTCATTCGCTGAACGGCAGAGGCGCCTGACCCAGGGTTTATGTTTGTATTGTGGAGCTGCAGGGCATGTAATTTCTGCATGCCCAATCCGCCCCCCGAGGCCCATGGTGAGTTATATAAGACCATCAATTGTCAATATGAAGCCACTCACCACTATGGTAATACTTCCCATAGAATGTTTCCATTCCAGTCAATGCCCTCCTCGATTCCGGATCAGCCGGGAACTTAATTTCTGGTGCCCTCTGCCGTCAGCTCAACCTCTCGACCACAACCACCTAAACCACCTACCAGGTCCAGTTGGTAACTGGCAAACCCCTCAGTCGCAAGCATGTACGCTGTTGTGTCAGTCCTCTCCAGCTCCAAGTCGGCCAATTACAAGTAGAAACTCTCCATCTCCTGGTTCTGGAGGATTCCACCGCTGATGTGATCTTAGGGCGCCCATGGTTAACCCAGCACAATCCCATCCTCTCCTGGGAACCAGGTGAGATCCTGAAGTGGGGCGAGAGGTGCTTTCCCGACTGTTTCCCTCTACTGCCTCGTCCTCCAGACCGTGTCTCCAGACCCTTCCAGTTTGCTCCACCTCCATTGAGAGCCCTATAGAGAAACAGTCAGTCGACATCCCATCCTGCTACGCCCCCTTCAGAGACGACTTCTGCCCTAAAAGAGCCTCCAAGCTGCCTCCACATCGGCCATGGGACTGTGCAATAGATCTGCTGCCGGTTGAGCCAGTGCCCCGCGGGAAGATATACCCGCTATCCATCCCTAAACAGAAAGCCATGAAGGAGTACATTGAAGAGGCCCTACAACAAGGCTACATCCGCCCTTCTACGTCCCCTGCTGCTTCGAGTTTTTTCTTTGTGGCCAAGAAGGACAGAGGCTTGAGGCCTTGTATCGATTACCGAGCACTCAATAAAATTACTGTGAAGTTCAGGTATCCTCTTCCCCTCGTCCCAGCAGCATTAGAACACCTCCGTGGAGCCACTGTCTTCACCAAGTTGGACATCCGCAGCACATATAACCTCATCCGGATACGTGAGGGGGACGAGTGGAAGACCGCATTTGTGACTACAGTACTGCGTTATGGTGTATGGCCCGGTCAATGCCCCCTCCGTATTCCAGGATTTCATGCACGAGGTTCTCCGGGAGTTTCTCCACAAATTTGTGCTGGTCTACATAGATGACATCCTTGTCTACTCCCGGAGTATGGACGAAAATCGCCACCACGTTGCGGAGGTCCTAAAACGCCTGAGAAAGTATCTTCTGTTCCTCAAAGCTGAAAAGTGTTCCTTCCACCAAACCTCTGTGCAGTTCCTTGGCTATCACATCAACAGCAGTGGCATCCAGATGGACGAGGGGAAGGTAACAGCCATTAAGAACTGGCCAGTCCCCACAACCATCAAAGAGCTCCAATGCTTTCTCGGCTTCGCAAATTTCTACAGGAGATTCATTAACAATTACAGCTCCATCGCCTGTCCTCTCACCAGACTCCTGAAAAACAAGCACAAGTCTCTGTCCTGGTCACCATCTGGCACTGAAGCTTTCAACCAACTCAAAGAGGCATTCACCAGCGCAACGCTCCTCGTCCATCCTGATCCCAATAAACCATTCATCGTTGAGGTAGATGCATCCGCCACTGGGGTGGGAGCGGTGTTGTCTCAGCAGCAGGGGACTCCAGTCAGACTCCATCCATGTGCTTTCTTCTCCCGCAAACTCAGCCGGGTGGAGAAGAATTATGATATAGGCAACAGGGAACTCCTCGCTATTAAGCTGGCACTCAAGGAGTGGAGGCATGGGCTGAAGGGTGCCAACCATCCCTTTACTGTCCTCACTGACCACAAGAATCTTGAGTATGTACGAGAAGCCAAAAGACTCAATCATTATTATTTTTTATTTATGGGCATTATTTTTCACCCGTTTTAATATCACAATTTCCTATCGCCCAGGTTCAAGGAATGTTAAGGCGGATGCCCTATCCCGCTTATATACTAAGTTATATACTATGTGTTCCTATGGCTCAGTGGTAGAGCATTGCATTAGCAGCGCAAAGGTTGTGGGTTCAATTCCCAGGGAAAAAATGTGTAGTCTGAATGCACTATAAGTCGCTTTGGATAAAAGTGTCTGCTAAATGCATAAATTATTATTATTTAAATTATATACTCCAGGTGAAGTCGGTGAAGAACCTGAACCCATCCTACCCAAGGAGATTGTTGTGAGTCCCATCCAATGGTCCTCTAGTTCAGTTCCTTCCTCCAATGCCTCCACCACCGCTCTGTCGGGCTGCCCACCAGGATTGTATTATGTCACCAGAGCACAACGCACTCCCCTCATTCACTCTGCGCACTAATCTCTGGGCACTGGCCACCCAGGGCCCAATGGTACCCTGTCGTTGCTAAGAGATCGCTTCTGGTGGCCCAGCATGGCCAGGGATGTGAGAAGGTTCGTAGAGGGATGTCCAGACTGCGCCATCTCAAAGAGTCCTCGCCATCTACCATCAGGCAAACTCCACCCACTGCCCCTTCCCAACCGACCTTGGACACACCTAGGAGTGGACTTCATTATGGACCTCCCTCCCTCAGATGGTAACACATGCATCCTGGTGATTGTTGACCGTTTTTCCAAATCACATCGTCTTCTCCCCCTCAAAGACCTTCCCACGGCCATGGAAACAGCAGAACTCATGTTTAACCACATTTTACGTTACTACGGAATTCCAGAGGACATTGTGTCAGACCGCGGACCCCAGTTCATCTCAAAAGTTTGGAAAGCCTTCTTTGCCCTCCTAGGTGTCAGATAGGTTGCCATCCTCAGTCGAACGGGCAAACGGAGAGAAAGATCCAAGAGATAGGTCACTTCCTACTAACCTTCTGCCATGGCCTCCAGAACTCTTGGAACCAGTTCCTGGGCTGGGCCGAGTACGCGCAGAACTCCCTTCGTCAGCCCACCACTGGTCTCACTCCATTCCAGTGCGTACTCGGTTTCCAGCCCCTTCTCCTCCCATGGTCCGGAGAGCCATCTGATGTTCCATCTGTCGACCACTGGTTTCCGGGAGAGCGAGAGGGTCTGGGACGCAGCTCACCACCAGCTTCAGAGGGCTTTGCGCCGACGCAGGATGACAGCTGACCTGAGACGTTCCACAGCTCCATCCTACCAACCGGGTCAGAAGGTTTGGCTGTCAACCAGAGACATCAGGATGCGCTTGCCCTGCAAGAAGCTTAGTCCCAGATACATTGGCCCCTTCACCATAACCAAGCAGATCAATCCTGTAACTTACCAACTCCAATTGCCTCCTCACTACAGAATTCACTCCACCTTCCATGTGTCTCTTCTCAAACCTCACCATTCTCCCACTTCTGTCTCCACAGAGCCTGGCACTGCAGTGGAACCCCCCCTTCCGTTAATCCTGGAAGACGGCGCAGCTTACAAGGTCAATGAGATCTTGGACTCCCGGTGCCGTAGTGGTCGTCTAGAATACCTGGTGGATTGGGAAGGCTACGGCCCAGAAGAACGGTCCTGGGTTCCCAGAAATGATATTTCTGAGGAAGAGGTCGACCACCATGACGTCGGGGTCCCCGGCCCTCAGGAGTGGGGGGGGGGGG